TTGTATGATACAAGAAGCTGGTGTAGAGTATCGTTTTTGGGGAGAAGCTATTATGGTGGCATGATGTATATTAAATGAAGTGCCTTCCAAATCAATTAATATAACACCCTTTCAGCAAAGGTTTGGTAGAAAAATCCAACCCATACCATATCAAAGTATAGGGCTCTATGGCACATGTTCATATTCCTTATGAGAAAAGGGATAATCTAGAACCTAAAATAACAAATTGCATATTGGTGGGGTACTCAAGTGACTTTAAGGGATATAAATTTTATAATGCAAAAACAAAAAAAAATATATGGAGATTATAGAGACTTACTTCTTTGAAGATGTTGAAACATAAAGGTAAAACAAGCTAGAATTTAAAAACAAAGTGGGGAAGTAGAACCACAAAACCCCCAACATAATTAATGTAGGAAGCTCTTCTCAAATTGATAATAATCCTCAATTATTTGAGCATAGAAGAAAAACTAGAGAAATTAAAAGACCTAATTATTTAAGTGATTATTCCTATTATAATGAAGTAAATTAAGAACTATTTAATTTTAAGGAAGTCATTAGCTCACCTTAAGTAAAGAGTTGGATGGAGACAATGAAGGTTGAATATATCCATAACAAATAATAAGACATGGGTATTAGCAGAATTACCTACAATAAAAAGGCAATTGGTTGTAAATAGATATATTCAGATAAACTTAATTATGATGGAAATGTTAATAGATATAAAGCAAGATTGGTTGCCGAGGGGTTTAGTAACAAAGAAGGATTAACTACAAAGAAATTTTTTCACATGTAGCTAGGAAATCTTCCATTATAATAATAATAGCCATAACTAATCACTAAGATTTTGAGATTCATCAAATGGATGTAAAAACTGTTTTTCTAAATGTTGAATTAGAGTAAGAAATTTGCATTAGTCAACCCAAAGGTTTTGAATGTGAGGCTCAAGAAAGTAATATACAAATTAATTAAAAGGAAAATATCTTCATATCCCCTATTTTTAGGTTACATTTCTTGACATACCCAAGGTTCAAAAGATATCTTCGAATCCCCTTGCTACTTTAAACTTATGTTTTAACCTAAACAAATGTGAGGAAGACATGTTTTTTCTAAACCCAATCATTTCTCTTTCTTCACTTATATACCCCAAACTTCTCTCTTTCTCTCTCTTCCTGCATCTCTCTCTCTCTCCTCCTGTATTTCTCCGAACACTTCTCTCTCCTCCTATATTTCTCTGAACACCTCTCTCTCTCCTCCTGTATTTCTTCAAACACCTCTCTATCTCCTCCCGATAACATCTCACCTCCATGAAGCCCTTCTCTCTCTCTAAAAGTTTGGAAGGATGGCTTTTAAAAAAAACATGTCTTTTTAGATTTTTTTGGCCTAAAAATACAGGTTTAAATTAGCTCAGGGGATTAGAAAAAATAAAATCTACAATTTTTATGCCCCAAGATATCTTTTAAAATTTTAGGTCTATTGTGAAATGAAATCTAAAAATAAGGGGTATGGAGATATTTTCCCTTAATTAAATCATTATATAGTTTAAAACCATCCTCAAGGAAATGTTATTTTATATTCTCACATACACTTAGAGGATATGGACTTAAGAATATCACCATAGATTATTATGTATACACTGAGGACAATGGGTATGCAAATGATATAATTATAACATGAAATGCTAGAAAAGTTATTAAGATGTGGTTATCCTCTAAGTTTGAGATGAAAGATATGGGATATATTGATTATATTCTAGGAATTAAAGTTACTAGAAATAGAAATAACATATTATTTTATCTTGACCAAGAGCAATATACTCTTAAAGTACTAAAGTAATTTAATATAGATAATTCTAAACCCATGGCTACCCTAATTGACAAAAATTATAAATTATCAAAGAAAATGTGTCCTACAACTAATAAAGAAAAGGAAATCATGCAAGATTATCCTTATGCACAAGTTGTAGGGTCATTTAATTACTTGATGAATTGTGTAAGATCTGATATAGCTTATGAAGTGGGGGTTGCTAGTTGATATATAACCAACCCTAGTATTGATCATTGGAAACTAGTTAAAAGAATATTTTCTAAGAGGGACACACAATTATGGCCCTAGTTATAGTATTAAAGATCTAATTCTTGAGGGGTATAATGATGTTGATTTGGGAGGAGAAGTTGATATATATATATACCAACATTTGGATAGTATTTACCTCTGGTGGGACATGTATCTCATAGGCTTATCACACTCCACTATAGAAGTAGTGTACATTGCATTTGATCATACTTCAAGAGAGAATCTTATTTAGGCAATTTATTAATAAAATACCGCTAGCCAATTAGGGGTATGGATCTACAATGATATATTTGATAATCAAGCATTTCTAAATACCCAATGTATCATGGCATGTCAAAACATATTAAAAAGAAGTATCACTTCATAAGAGAATTTGTTGAAAATAAAAAGATAGAAGTTAGCCATCTTCCTAAGCAATTAATGGTTGTTGATCCATTAACAAAGGGTATCAATATAAACTCATTTGAAAGGAGTGTGATTACCATGGGGCTTAGACGAATCGATAAATCATCATGATTCATGCTACTTGACAAGTCTTTATGATTGAGATTTTAGGAATAACTTTTGTGGTAGTGTGATGATTATGGCTTTTGTGAATTACTCGCTTGTGTGGCATGAATACCTTCGTGACGTCAATAACCTTTGTGGTCTGATGAGGATCTTAGTTATTCGATCGCATCTTTGTGATGCAAGGGTTTCTTAGTAATCCACATGCCTATGTGGTAGTTGTTTGAGCCTCCAAGGGTTGGAAGGTTAAGTCATTTGACTTTGAATGGTTCGTTATGTGATGAAAATCCCTCGAAAGCATGTAGCCACGAACCACCACTTACTAGTGTACATTTGCACATGCTTTGCCGCCATCTCTAGCTAGAGGGAAGTGATGTGCTAGTGGTTATCCGAGTAGTTGAGAATCTCTTATTGAGATGTATCTCTTTGTGAGATTTTATGGTGACTAACTGCATTGATGAAAGGGCACCACATGTGAGACTTTTATGGTGACTAACTGCATTGATGAAAGGGCACCACATGTGATGAGCATATGTATGGCATAACAGTAGAAGATATCCACTTCTATTTATTTTTGGATACCTGGTGGATAAATTAGGTAGGTCAATAAGTATATGCATGAAGTCGATGAAGTGGTTTATGATCACTCAATACATCACAACTATAATGAGCATGGAAAAATGTGGTGGATGCTATTGAGTAAATACATTGTGCGTGTGGATATATCAATTCTTGAGGAAGTACAGCTCAAGTGATCCCGATATACCTCTTTGCATTAATAGATGAACGAATTATAAAGCCAAAACCATGTAGAAAACAAGGGGGAAATGTTGAGCATAGGTTTTTCTCCATGCCATTTGTGGATTGTTTTGGAATAAATAAACTTATTTTCACTACCATTTTTATAAATAACCAAAACGTCTCATCTTTTACTTGGTTCCATTTATTCCACATTTTGTAAAAGTCCACTCATTCGTTCCAATTGTTAAAGCGAAGAAGTCATATACATCTAGGTAAGGTCAAGGGAGTTTGATATGATACACATCTTATTCTCTCTCAACATCCTTATTCCCTCTCTCTCCCTCAACAAACATTTATAAGTGCATCGAGTCCAAGGGTGAATCCCTAGCCTTATAAGCAACACCCTAATCATCCATTGTAAAGCCATCTTGTTCCCATCACCTTCCTATTATTTTTTCTCTAGATTGCTATTAATCTATCTATGTTCCAAAACTTCCAACAAAATATTGATGTCCTAAAGATAAGGATTTGTCCATTCTCTACAAGCCCTAGTTAGTGCATACTAGTGAGTGAGTTCGTTTCATACACAATATTTTCTCATTTTGGTTTGATTTAAAATTAAGATAAAACACAAAATAGTGAATCATATATTGGCCATTTGAGTCAGTTTTGTGAAGCCCTTGGTTGTGGATGTATGCTTATAATTCTTATGTAATTTGATGATTTTACATTAATCCATATTTGTAACCATATTAAAATCGATCCTGCGTTTTATGAAAAAAGGAAACAAAATATTCCCCCAAACTTTCAAAATTTGCATTCCTTATGGTTCTAACTTTGATATTTATGAATCTATAACTTATAATTTTCTTTCAAACTTTCATTTACATTTAAAGGTATACATATTTTGAAGCAAATAACAAAGAATTAAAAAAAAGATAAAGTATAAAATGAGACCAGTTATCTTTGATACAAAGTGGTCATATTAATCTTGACCATTGGATGGCTGCAATTATTTCATTGACCAAGCTCAAACTTCAAAATAAATTTTCTCGAACTTTGTGACACATCCAAACTATCAAATTTCACATCAAATGGTTGTAAAGAGTTGTGACCACCTTGTATCAAAGGTAAACGGTCTCATTATATACAATCCCTAAAAAATATATAATAAGAGAAAAAAATATCATACCGTGATTTCACCTTTGGAGCATAAAGACAGCAACAACCATCACTGGAAATTGAATGGGCAGTGTGTACAATTGACCACCATAATACTTTCACAAACTTCTACATATAGAAACACCCCTTTTGTGATCTAAATTATAAAAATGAGCGTTTGAAAATGAAGTAGCCTGATCAGCTGGGACTGAACCAGTTCCAAGGAGGAATGGGTACCAACCTAGTATGTCCCCACCCTGCTTAAAACCTCCCCATTTTATATTTTTGCGTCTTCTTCTTTTAAGTTATATAATATTTCCTTAGGCCCCCTAACCCAACACACACACACACCCACAAAACTTATTATTTTTTATTCTTTTAACCGATCCATATAAACAATCTGGCCATCTGAGACAGATCCTTGGCGTGGATGATCCACCTATTAAATCCGTGGTTGCAAACAAAAAATAACGGTCCTATTGGACATATAAAATCCTATAAATAAACAACCAAAAAAACAACAATAAAATATCTTCATATATTTGAAATGTTTTAAGAAAACATCGAAATTTTTTACTAGGTTTTCAAGTATAGCTCAATCAGAAGTAGCGAAAGGCACGCTAAAGATGGACAAAACTTCCCATTCTTCCCTTCTGTGGATGCGTGTTTTTTGAAAATGCCCTTCTGGGGATGTTTCGTTCTGGTAAAAAATACCTTGACAAAATTATTGAGAATGCGAAACTGACAAGCTTGCCAAATACAAACTCTTCCAGCAAGATGGTTGAGCACGGATTAAGACCCAACCATCAAGCACCAATCAATAAGAGAAGTGCTTAGCAACATATGATTCAATGTGACATCGTCTAGGATAAGAAGTTTATCACAATTAGGCATAGGCAAAAAGTAGAATAGAAGATGTCATACCCATGACCAAAATGAGAGCAAAGCTCAAACAAAAATACATATGCACAACTGGTCTATAGTCCAGACAGACACTCAATATCCATGCTCGAGGAAAATTAATTATAAATCTGAAGAAGCTAATGAATTAATTACAAATTCCGAATGTTCAATTGAATTCTAGGAAGTGCAAAGAAGAGGAGCTCATTCAGGTTTTTTTCACCAAGTTGTTGATTATCAGTATTTGGTGGTACTTCATTATCAGTATTTGGTGGTACCTAGGTGAAATCAAACTGTTTTTCTTTGATTCTGGCTGATCAAGCCTCACCAAATATAAACACAATTTCTATGAGTCCATGTAGAAATGAGTCACCTCTTAAAAATCTATTTTTGAGATGGATTTTTTTACCTAATTTTTAAAGACATGTAATCTCCAACATGGAGATCATGAATATGAATAGATAAATAAATTTTGAAAATTAAAAATAATAATCTATTACAAAAAATATTTGGACAACTAATATTAATTGTTTTTTAGATGGGCTACCTATTTGCATCTATCTTTAAGATTGATGCTTTATACTTCGGGGACCGCAAATGTAGAAATGCAGTCCCCACCGCCTTAAAACAATGTTCCAACCACCATGCTCACTGTTTGATTAGAATGTTTTAAAATGGTATTGCACTGGAAATAGGCTTTGGAAACAAAAGTTATTGGCGTCAAATTGGGGCTCATAAAGCAAGTCATCCACCTTTCTAGATTGGCTGAGCCTTCTTTTCATGACATCTGGTGAGAAGCTGTTGGTGAAGCCGATCATCTAGCAAAAGATGGAACTAGTGCCTATATCTCTACCTCTCGAGTCTCCCCCATCATTAGAGCAGCACTTTTCTTTTGTTTCCCTCTTTTATCTTGGTCTTTTCCTAAAGCTTTCTATGTTTCTCTGCTTCACGGCACCCTTGGGTGCACCTGGATGTATTTCTTTTGAATTCGACCCATAACCTAACAGGGTCGCATTTGTGAGTAGATGCACCTAAATATTTGAAACCCACATCTAGAACAAATTGGAGGAGATCGGTTTAGTGGACGTGAAGAATGATGTCCTGAGGCAGAATGATCACCTCGCTAAAAGCTACATCAGACAATTTGCAATTTTAGTTCTTTGTTTTGAGCAGTGTTCTAAAACCCAGCTCAAGCAGCGGATTCGACCCTGCCGGAGCCTAGTTACCTGATTGACCTTGCTCGGACTGAGCCAAGTCACATCCAAGCCAAGGAAAGGGCCAAAAGGGGCCCAAAATTTTGGAAAAATTCCCAAAAATCCCAAAATATAAAAAAAATAGTAAAAAATAAAATACTATATAAAATAAAACATGTAGGGTAAGCTTTCTATGCTTCCCCTACAATGTAAAACTTCTATACTTCCCCCTATCCAACCGTTCATTCTAAATGGACGGCTTAGATGGCCCCAATCACAATGTCACCCTTTATACTATTTTATTTTTATTTTTTTTATACAAAACATTTTGACACCAAAATTTGGGCATCCAATCCTCTCTTCAGCTCGCACCTATAAAAAATATAAAAACAATATTCCCAATAACATAAAATGACTAAAATGCCCCTGAAACTTTCAGTGGTATTTTGGTCATTATATTTTATCAAAAATATTTTTTAATATTTTATTTTGGTGCGCCCCATTGAGGTGATGGCATGTACCAAATTTCATATTCATATAGTTAGTAGAACAAAATTAAAAATAAAATAATCTGAGATATCAAATCTTAGATTAAATAGTTAAGTAGCTCACTTGATCTAAATTGGACGGCTGGATGAAGGGGGAAGTATATATCTTTTATGCTGTACGGGAAGCATAGAAACATTTTCCAAACATGTAAACCATGAAATATGGGAAAAAAAAAAAAAAAAAAAAAAAAAGAAAAGAAAGAAAGAAAGATACTGTTGGCTGGAAAAACAATTGAACTTTAAGAAAAATTGAAAAATTATAACAAGATTAACACTAAAAGGTATAAGAGTTATATACAAAATTAATTATAAATTCAGTATAATTGATTTAGTAAAAAATGAAATATATGAATTTTAAGAAAAAAATCAAATTTATCCAAAAAGTTTTAACCTAGTCTTCGCTCTCAATGTGAATCAAAGCCTCCAATCCTTGTCAAAGATTCCTCAGACATCAGACAACCAAAATCAAAACCCACAAGCCAGTGTTGTGTTTCAAGTTCGGATCTAGGAGACCCAAGCTCTTGAAATATTTGGATGAATTGTAAATCCTAATTTCAGGTCTCTCAAATCCTAATCTTTTAAGCCTTTCTATGAAAATCAACTCTATGGTTAAATCAAGATCACAAAAATACGTTTAGGGATCAAATTTCATCAAAGAAAACGTAATTTTTCAAAATTCAGCACAAACTTTGCCAAATTTTTTTATCTCAAATATCTATCAAATTTGATTTTTTTCTTGAATCTATTGTATCTAAAAGATAGATCAGGCAAAAATCTATCAAGGGTTTCAAATTGGTAAGGTTTTGAGCTTAAAATCTAAAAAAATAGAAAAAGAGCGACGGATTTCTTCCCCTTCTATATGCAGTACTCAGGCTAGTATTATAGCAACTTGCACGTGTATCATGCAGGGTACCCCTAGGTATCCTGTTTAGGGATTGACAAGCCACCAAACGCTAGTGATGAGTCAACTTAGGGTGTTTCCAGAAACTGGACTTTAGAATGCCTGAGAGTAAAGAAACTCGAGAAACCTCAATGTGAATTTTATCACAGGAGGGTCTTTAGTGGCATGATTCATTAGGTAAAAAACAGAAAGAAATCTGTAAGTCAAAGAGGCAAGGTGGCCTTAGCATCCAAAAGGCATTCGGGGTGCAAAAAGTCACTGTGACTAGCTGGAAATTGCATATCGCAAGTCAGAAAGATGGTTCATGGAGGAAATGGCTAGAAACCATATTCATCAGGGTAATGTAAGCAGGGGAGGCAAATGGGCGTTGAAAGCTTAGAATGCATTTGCATTGGAGTGAATGGATCTAGCAGAAATGATGAAACAATTAGAAACAGTAAGATGTGAGTTGCAAATCTTTTGATAAATAGATGATGTAACGAGTTCACTTTAGAGCTTATGTTTGTGACTCTTTGCTCAGGATAGGCATATCGGAGTGAGATGTACTATGTTGATAATGGTAGGAAGGTGTGAAGCCTCAGATCCATTGTATTGGATGAGTACACTGATGTTTATTTGGGAGGTGGTTCACTTCCACATTTATTTGGCACATCAGAAGGAAGATTTCTTCCATAAAGCCATTAAGAACAAACATGCCACTTGATGTAAACTCAGATATTTGGCATATTTACATATGTTCACGTGCTTGTTTAGTTCTTTTAAAACATACATAAAGGTAATGAAATATCACCTAAGAAGGTAAACTGGTATATTAGATATGACATCTAAAATCTATTAAATATAACAGATATCAACCCTATAGGGATGCACTTCATTCTATTCAATATTGTGAACAAGGTCGAGCCATAGGATGCCATTAATCAGAACTAAAAAAGAAAAAAAGAAGAAATACTTTCTGCGTTAACATTCCATTGCTGCTAACAGAACAATAGAAAAAAATTTTCCTCATTGACATGGAAACCACCTGATTAAAAATCTTACAAAAAATGCATAGCGATCTTAAACAGTAAAAACATTACTCGGACGAGTACATCTCTTTTTTTGGGAAAAAAAAAGTATTCAAAAAAAAAAAACTCCAACTCGTACATGTCATTACAAGGATCAGATTCAAAGCAATTAAAACAATTCAGGATATAAATGATACCTAAAATGGTAGCACATGCAGACATGAGGAGAAACAGATTACTTAGCAACAAAAAAAGATGCAGAAGTACATTATCTCACAACACCATTAGTAAACAGGCAATGAATCTGATGTGGTACCCACCAACCTAAATCCTTGCTGCATTCCCAGATCTAGCAGAATACATCACATAGCGAGACGAACCAATAGTCTGATAGTCCACAAACTCCCCACTAGTTGCTCGTGAATAGCAACTGGAAAAAGGACAAGAGCCTAGCTGTGTCCAGGTTGGTACAGATAGGCCTAAATCAGAACAAAAAACGTATGATTATCTGAAAAGTATGGGACCTAAACTGCTTCTACAGCAGGGTATCCAACACTAATCAATAATAAATCCAAAGAACAGATCCAAACAATTGGAAAAACCTGATGGAATTCCATATGCCTCACCACGCAAGGATCATAAGTCAAGAGCTTAATGCAAGACAATTGCACACGAATCTGATTATAACCATCATCCAAGCAGCCGCAGAAGTAATTAGTACAGGACCAAACCATGCCCAACAATTCAAACAAATATGCAAATTGAACACCCAGCCTCATCCTTTACGAATTAACTATTTTAGAGTGGGTCCCAATGCTACAACGGTGCATTATCAATAACACACCCAGATCTTAAATAAGAAAATTACTCACATCATGCGAGGCACAAAACCACAAGCCATGAGCAATAGTGATATGTGCTTTACAATCTATAAACTGCATTTTATAATAGCAGTCCAGGCAATTACAACGAATAAAGCACAGGCAGTTATATGTGCCAAAGATGGTGCCTACACTGCGGCACTAATCATGAGAATCAATTACTAGCACAGCTTTTAATAAATGCATTTTTTAATTACTATCTATAACTAACATGCAATGCCATCAGAATGAAAAGCAGCATGAATCAAAATAACATAATGATAATAGAAGTAGAGCATGTTGGTGTCATGTGCATGGCTTCGATAAGAGATCATCTTTTGCAGCATATTGTCATCCCATCTCCAATAGGAACCTAAACTTCAGAAAGCTCAAAGGTTAACCCAAGAACAAGAAGAGGAACAAAGGAAGACACATGTATGTCGTATAAGAATAAAAGATATATCTACCACCTACCACACAAATACTGACTCGTTTATCCTCAAAGATACTTCTATTGAAATCTCTTATGCTCATTGTCTTTTTATCATTTACCTGCTAGAAAAGAACTACATTATAAAGGAATCTAAAATCCAAATTGAGTACGTTTTTTTAAAGCATATTTGCCAACTAAACTGATGACATTTTTCATTTTTATGATATACATTTGCATACCAGAGGGTCAGCAACTCTTCCATGCCAGAGTACATTATCAATTACAATAACACCCCCAGGCCTTACCTACAATAAATACCCACACTATAAGCAATCAGAGTTCTCTACCAAAACTAACCAGCATTAATTTACGACATTTGCATCACCATAGCCAGCTGAAATAAGTGCTATATAATATATTACTTCCTAGTTAACAAGTTACTGAGCAAAAACTATTTCTTATTCATTCAACTTCTTTCTGGCAAATGTATGTACCTTTAGACTGAGCCACTAAAAAATAGATTGTGAAAGCTTCATTAAACATTTATATTGAGCATTACATCACAAAGGCAATAAAAAACTCCAACAAGTACTTCCTGGAATATTCCTTTGACCTCAATCAAACGCTTCCAGACTATATTTAGCAAGGTAAATTAGGTGAGGCAATTACCAACTGTAAAAGTAACTCATAATATTCCTTGTACATTCTCTTCTCAGCATCAACGAAAGCAAAATCAAAACTGCGCCAAGACAGTACATAATCCAAGAATTAAGAACTGATTCATGTCAACCAGATTGTTACAAAGGTAACCTAATGAAAAGCAAAATAATTAACAATGGTTAACATGCACCAACACAAATTGAAACTCCGAAGGATCGTATTAACAGTTCTAAACTCAAATTGCTTAAGAAGAGGAAGTCTACCAGCGATGCTGAACTCTCGTCTAATTTCTGGCTACCACGGTTTTTATATTATATGCTTAAAAAAGCAGAAGTGTTATATGATCACTAGATATAATCACAGAAACTAGTAAGATTAATGATTCAGAAAATGCATGAAAGAAGATGCAGAAGAATATACCAATTGAACTAATCTCTTAACCTTATCTCTAACTCAACCAATTTACCAGTATTTAAAGGTAGCTGTTATCAAGGATGGTAATCAAGGAATCTTATTAACAGTCACTTATTACAATATTGGAGGGCACATACAACTGTATTATAATGATTTGCCATTTCAACCGAAAAATTATTAACGAATATCTCCAACATGGAGAGAGATTTAAATAGGCTATATACGTATGACTACATGACAAATAGATGAATTAATGAATAATTCTACTGGAAAAAATTAGTGTTTACTTATTAAACAAGCACTTCAGCCCATGACATATCTAGTTTCAATTTCAAGCAACAATTCTATCCTTGAACAATATAGGTCACATGCTATCCAGATGAAACGGAGTGCAGTCCAAATTAAGGTTACAAGTCCACTAGCTCCCACAACCAAATAATTGAGTTCATGAAACTTCATTGTAAAAGTTATACATATATTTGTAGTTGCAGACTATTTAGCATATGAATATATCTATCTAGCATATTGGTCCCTAGATATATCGAATCATATGCACCATCCCATCATATTCCATTTTCGTATCAATTTTGTATTTACAAATACCTATCTGGTATTGGTGGATTGTAAAAGTTATACATATATTTTGTAGTTGCAGACTATTTAGCATATGAATATATCTATCTAGCATATTGGTCCCTAGATATATCGAATCATATGCACCATCCCATCATATTCCATTTTCGTATCAATTTTGTATTTACAAATACCTATCTGGTATTGGTGGTATGGTATGATGTTGACATTGCATCACCTAGCTTACACTTAGTGCAAGGCATCATCCTTGAAGTTTGTCCCAGAGAACCACATAAGCTGACCTACCCTTTTTCTACAATGTTGACACTGGTCCCCACCCTCCCCTCCCCAGACATCGATACACCCCACCAAACCGCTCCCCCACCCCAAAAAAAAAAAACCACCCCCATCATAAACACATACACCCCTGCGTGCTTGGGAAAGAGTGCCAGACATAACATCTTTAAAAAATTACAGGCAGACCTAGAGCTTTCTGAAATGCTTTGCTGGCCACCAAACCTACAAAACTGTTCCCACCTAACCCAAACCATCAACCAATGAATCCAAATGCCATTAATCAGCAGGAAGAACAAAAGTTTCAGATACACTTCATGCCCCATCTCTCCAAGTTAAGAAAGAATAAATTTTCCTGCTCCATAAGATTGTTTACGCAACAGTGCAAGCACGGAATTCATCATACCTGTATTTCATTTCTTAATATGTTTTGAGGCCATGAACACCAGGATACCCCCAAAGGAAGACACCTGAAGGGTTTTTTTTTGTTTTTTTGAAGCTGTTAATTTTAAGATACCTGAAGGAAATGCTAAGGCACATCCAGACATACCAGCAAAGAGCATGAAACCACTATAGAAAACTAACAAAATAAATTACTGTAGTTGATGTAGCCTATATTTCGAAATTAAGGACATATCATGACCAACAACAGCACAGTGGCAAGACATGATAGTTGGATAATTTTGCATTTTCCTGGATTTTCACGAGTTTTAGCCTGCAGAGTTTTGGTAAACCCTTCTAAGGGCACATTAGTATAATGGCATGTACCCATAACTCGATTGGTTACAATTTTTTGGATAAAAATTGGTTATAGTGTTTACAAATGCCATATTACTTCACAGGTTCAAATCCTATAGTGACCTGCCAAAAAATGATAAAACTCATGCATCCATAAGGTAATCAGTATCAAACCAATTCACCGTACAGATAAAACAAAAGGCAATTATTGATTATAAATTATATCAGAGGGTACCAGCCAGGTTCTTCAGTCTCAATTAGAGATTCCAGGACATTGATTGCCAGAGCATGTTTCACTTCCACCTGACAAGGAGTTTTTCCACAATGGAAAATTATGGTTAGTCGCAATGTTTAAATACACTGCTCTGGCAAGGTACTCGAGCAAAGTAAAGCAGGTCAGCCCAAGTCGACTCGCCAAGTCCAGCACATGCCACCAAAGAACCTCAAAGAGGCCCAAGAAAAGGGAAATATGCCCAAAAAACCCTAAAACTAATTAAAAATTCAAAAAATCCATACAAAATACAAAGAAGTAAATAAACATGAAATATGAAAAAATTGATGTTAGAAGCTTGAAAGACAAATCAGAAAAATCTAAATATACGCCAAAAAAATAAAAAAAGGAAAAATTGTAAAAAAAATAAAAATAAAAAGGATATACAAAAATTATAAATCAATGATAATCTATTTAGTAAAAAATAAATGTTATGAATTTCAATTGAAAAAAAATAAAATTTAGCCAAAAGTTTAAGGCTGATCCCCAATCTTCGCACCCGCACAAATCGATGCATCCAATCTTCGTCAAAGGTTCCCCAAACAACCCCAATTAAAATCACCAAACCAGTTTCAGGTTTCAAGTTCAGATCTAGGATATCTGAGCTCTTGAAAATTTCATAACAATAGTAAATCCGAATTTCACATCTCTCAAATCCTAATATTTTTTAAGCTTTTTTTTTTTTTGGTGAAAATCATGCCTATGGTTGGAACAATAACACAAAAATAGGCATAGAGATCAAAATTTCATCGAAGATCAACCATTGATTGCAAAGAAACCACAATTTTAAAAATGGGGCAAAAACTTGGCTGAATTTTTCAATAGCTCAAATCCATCAAATCTGATTTTTTTCTCAGATCTGATTCATCTACTAGATAGATCCGTTGAAGTTAGGCTATAGAATCGATTGTGGCTTAAATTTCAGGTCTTTGGGCGAGTGTGAATACAGTGCAAAAGTGGGCAGATTTCCACCACACCTTTTATACTGGTTGTGCATAGTACTCGGGTGAGTACAGTAGCGACTCGCCCGAGTATTGTGAAACTTGTGAGAGGCAGCCCGAGTTTCAAAATACTAGGGTGAGTTTGCAAAATACTCGTCCGAGTGAGCACTGTACAGTATACACTTAGGTACCATGTTATGGACTCAATAGGATGCCAACACCAAGTAACTCACTAGAGTCTAAGTCGACTTGCACAAGTTTTTTGACACTGGTTAGTAGCATTGCAGTAGGGAATATCCAACCAAGCAAAGAAAAGCAGTTAACATTCTCTAATGTTTAAACAAATAAAGCCAAAGCATTATCATGAAATCGTTTTCATAATCGAAATAACAACGAGAGAAGTAATTTATCAAGAAGCCCGTCTTATCTACATAACCAATTGCTCTTAGCAAAAATTGTTGAACTTCTTAACAAAATTACAATTACTAGAAAACCCCTGAAAAAAAATGTATAACGATTATCAATGAAAAAATTTATCAATTTGCACTAGTAATACTAGATTAAAGACAACATGATTACTCTTCTCAGCAAATAAAACAGAATTCTCATCCAAATAAATAAACAACTCGAATAACTCACAAAGGGTAAAATCATTCTTGTAATTTTGTTCAAGGGGAAAAGAGAATTTGCAATGAGAGGTATAGGTTTACAAGATATTCTACAATACTTGGCCAAGAAATGGCAAAATTTATAAATTTGTTAATAGATAGTGTTAATTGATCACCTTGTGAGACACACCAGCTCTCTTATAATATCTTTTTGCTACTTCAAGGCACTTAGCATCCCTGTCACAAGCAACTAAACGACCCGATTCAGGTAGTACTAAGGCAATAGCCAAAGAGGAATACCCCTGGAACAAATTCACAACTTTTCAGAATCAAGCAAATGCAGAATGCCTACTTTTTCGTTTAATCCAACATAATATTTTCCCACAGTAATTGAAGATAAGAATTTCAACAAGTTCAAGGGACACCTTAAACACCAGAAAAAGATTTCATGGATCCAATCATAACTTCCACTTGGGAGTGTTTCTAGGGCCCCACAACTCTCAAATCATGTCAATTGTACTCTAAAAACAATTTCATAAATTAAAATATACAAGCAATTTGGAAATCAGAGAATGCCCCAATTCAAATGCTCTCCAACATTGAAGCTGGATTGTCAATTTCATTTGATGGACGTCAGAGATAGGATTTTTAAGCTCAAAATGGTTTTACTTTTAAATTGATATTAAAGTAGATCAAACTTGTTTTACGACGATTTGGGTCACAAGATACTGCTAAGTAGGATTTTTGCCATGGGTCCAAATGAACAATTTGGAACCATGGGACCACCGTATACACACCCTTATTTAATTACGTAATATAATCTATCAAATACTTTAGCGGATAACAAATACAGTAAAAGGACAAAAGCAAGAAAACAGTACTATCCACATCAAGTAGTAATTTTGTGATAACTAAGACAATAAAAGAGCCTTAACAAAGAGGTATGCACCTCACAGAAAAACCAGGAGTGTGAATCCATTTACTGCATCCTATCTGCTAGCCATGACGAGTCCAGAAAAGCACCATTCTTCTTGTACACATGAATCTTTTACAAATATATATAACATGACGTCATGATTGCTGCAAGCATGAATTATTTTCCGATTGCATGTCACTCTCTTAAAGAGGCCTAACCAGTATTTCAAGAGCCCTCACAAGTAAAGCTTGCTCTTCAGGAGGGCCCAGGAATTAGCAAAGATTAGAAACAATAGAGGACTAGTTCTGTGCAAGACATCCATGCACGGAAATTAAAACTGCACAGAACCAAAAAACCAGCTGAAAACGAGAAGCAGATTTGGGCAGTTCACTTAATGCACATTAAAGTTCAGGATGAAGCAAAGAATATACATTCAATAGTTGAACTTACATTAAACCAAAGTTGATAAACAAGTATTCGATCTTGCAAATTATAGACAATGAATAGAACAATAATGAGTTTATAGGAGCCAAGTGGAGTAGACATTACTACATCAAGAGTGAATCTTTTCCAAGATGGCAAATAGAAACCAAGGACAAATGAGACCTAGAGTCTAGACAACCATTTAGAAATGAGGGTTTAACAAGACCAGAGGTGGGAATCATGACAGGTTTTAGGTTGAAAAACCTCGTGGGGAGATGATATGAAGATAGGATCTTATTGAACCCCTATCTTGAGAATAAGCATGTCCAAGATCTTGCCCCGTGGTCCATACATTTGGAAGGGTCGAGCCTCTCTTGGTTACCCCAACCCAAGAAGATCTTACTCAGAAATGGAAACCTCCAATTTTAACAACTGCAGTTGGAGGGTGTCACATAACTCATTTCACAAAATGAGGTTTCTAAGGGACATCTAAAGACCAGGGGATCATCCATTGGACCTGGGTTTGGTGTAAGGGTAATGAGTATGAATTATTCATCAAGTAGCACTTACAATGCATCGTGCACTGTTCCAGTAGCCAGTTAATAGGATGACATGTTTTTTTGGTAGAAATTTTGCTTCAAAAGAAGTTTTTAATACTTGGCCAAGTGCAACAATTGCTTGATTGCCATTGTAGGCAACCTAAGTCAATAACAAATAAACACCAGCGAACACATTTGAAAATTGCCTAATGTCATAATTGACATTGGGAACAGTAGCATTTCCCCAATATTGCATGCAGGAAGGGTGATTGAAAGAATTAGATTGAGTTGGTGGCAGGCAAATCAATTAGAGGAGAGGAGAAAGAAGAGCATATCATGGGGACATGATGAAGAGATAACACAGGTGCTCATTGAAGTTTACGTCTACAATGATTGCAGGATAAATATTTACAATTCCCCGAAATCGGTAAGAGAATATCTTTTTTCTTATTTCTCATCTGAACAAAGACAAGAAAGACAACGGTTTGTAGTTGAGGAAGGTAGGCTTCTAGAAAGAAGCATGGAACGCATGGGACCAGAGCGATAAGGGAGGTAGGTAGGTCCTTTAGCATCTAAGGTTTTTGGAGGGGAAGATCAAGATTAGGAAGGGGTTAGGTTCATGATTGGCAATGAGAGCAATGCAAGTTTTTGACTGACATCTAGTACGGATGAGCTTCGATGAAAAATCATTTCCCAAGCAAGACTAGTCTTCAACCTAATTGTTGTCATAAGGCATTTCTAAAGTGGAGGTGGAGAAGTGCGGCTTCCAAGTTTTTATGAGCGGTTTTAGGACAAGAAGTTTGTGATTGCCCCAACCCTTGGGCAGTCTAAAGCCCATATTTATCCTGTATGACTACAAGCATGTCTAGTGTCAATGACCAAACAGGCTTCACATTCCCAATATCTTGGACTTGTAGAAGAGAAGAATCTATGGACCATCTTCTTTACCATCCTTTCTCAAGAGATGTCAGAACTTGTTTGCAGAACTCTCTATCATATGTTGCATGACGTCATCTGCTAGAGAGATTGACTCTTGCAGAACATCCCTATGACATGCAAACCATTTTCTGGGACAAGAAGATTTTTGAGAGTGCACAAGCATGTCCATAATTATATTTGAATACAATAGTAACACAATTTTATTACATAATAAATAATTCTCTCTCTCTCTAGCCTAAGTGCTAGAAAGTCCCATCCACTAAGGCTGGAAGCATAGAGTTTTTTCCCTCATTGGAGATGTAATCAACGATTCGATTAGATCTTCAATCCGGCTAGAAACCATTCACAAGCAATACTTTCACCCATCTCTAAGCGGAGGAATTTTTTCTCCTAATGGACAGGATGAGTTTCTTTCTCTCTCTCTACCCTTTCCTCCGAAATCACTTTTGGACCCCTATATAAACAATGATGTAACTCGACATGGATCGTTTCTCCTTCCATCTAAAGGCCCTTGCAAATTGCAAGGTGAAGAATACGCTCTCTAGCCCCTCACCTCACCATGCAAGAATTTTTTCTTAGCTTCATATGAAAATTTTACTATGGTCGTAGTGATCCACATCAAGGGTTCAAAAAACGCTAGCCCAGTGCCTAGTCGGCTGCCCAGGCACCCAAGCAGCCAAAGGCTGCCTCACCTACGCCTCGGTGGGCCATTCAAAGCAAACATTCCTAGGCGCCCACCTAGGTGGGAACCAAGGAACTGCCATAAAAATGAAGGACAAGACCCACTTTGTTGGGGCATTGTGGGTTATTTTGATCCTTGAAACAGCCAAGAAATCGATTGATTTTGGGATTCTTTTTTTCAAATCGAGAAATTTCTTAAAAGTCCCCAGAATATCCGAAAACGTCTCATATCCTATTGGAATCATTTTTTGATTCCAAGTGAGGTTATTATAAAATTTTTGGCATGATTTTGAGCTTGATAGACATACAAAAAATTGAAGCTTGAAGATCAAGCAAAAAGCTTAGTAAACAATCTCTGTATTTGAGAATTCTTTCCAAGATTCGAAATGTCTTCTTTGAAGTGGGGACCAGGATGGAAATATTATATTAACCCCGATAAAAATGATAAAAATAAAATAATGTGCAATTTTAACAGTCATATTTCAAATGCCAAGATAAATAGATTCAAAAAACATCTTATTGATATTAAGGGGGATGTTGCCCCATGCAAAAAAGTTCTCAAGCTTGTGAAGAACGATATTCTTGAATATGTAAAAGCCAAAAAAATTCAAAATATAGCAAAGAAGAAGGATATAGCAAATTTGCAGGGGTTAACATTTTTTGTGATGATGTTGGTGAGGATGATGAAGGGGATAATGAGTTGGGCCACGTCGCATTATCTCAAAATTCAAAACTTCTAATAGGGGTTTTGGGTCTAAGAGGCCTCGTATGCAGGGGCCCGTTGATTTTTTTTCCCAACCCAACCTCTAGGCGCTCTTCATTGTGGTTGTTTTTGGTGGGATGTTATCCTGCTTAGATGTTTCCCTCCTTGCTTTGGTGGTCGAGTTGTGATGGTGTTTGTAACTCATGTTTGGTTCCTTCTTTAAACTCTTGGGAAACTTGGATATTGATCTCTACTCTGTCTTGTCCTTGTCTACTCTTTCTTAATATCTCCCTAACCGACTTCCTTTACACTTTTTGTATGCAATGCTTTATTTTCTCCCTTGTACACAACTCTTTTCTCCTTTGACCATAATCAATGAATTTACTACTTGGTGAAACAATTTCTTTCTCAAAACCTTGTTGGATGGATTCCTTTGACGATTAGACTATGGATGGATGGAGTGGTATGCGTATGGTTTACTTTCAATATTTTATACACTTATTATGTCACATGCCTGAGTGCAGATTGTGGATGATTTACTTTCAAAGTTTAATGATATTACAATTTTATTGTTTCTGTCACATGCCTGAATGCCATCATCCACATTTCCTAAAATGACTTTACATGATCCATTCTTGTTGCCAAACGTGTTGACACAAGTTCCAGTGCCAATATTTGTTCAAGGAAACGACAAATGGGACATACTAGAGTAAAAGTAGTGGCACTTTGCCAATATCAACCTTCCTACAATAACAATTGAGAGTCAAGCATTGACCCAAATGCTTGACCCAAATCTCACTTTGTGAAACACATTCATTATCACCTTCTGTAAAGTTAGCATAGGTCATATCACTTTTAAGTGTTTTCCATTTACTTTATTGCTAACATTATCCAAGTGTAACATTCACCTTGAAACTTTTCCCTTTTTCTTTTAATGCATTTTGATATATTCAATGCTCCCCACGTATTATGCTTTTCTCAATGTGTATATAGCAATCCAATGTTCAAGCAAGAAAGTATCATATGCCTATTTTGTGCTAGTGCCATAGAGCAGGCATATTTAGCCAATGGGGCATGGTGGCAATTGTCTTACAATAAGTGAAAGAAGCTCAAATGAAAGAAGCTCAAATGTCAAAAGATACCAACAGGATACTTGCATATTGGTTGCCCAAAACAATGAGTAAGCATTACAAGGAGTGATTGCTCTTCAAATGTACATTACAGTTGCTAATTACAGGATTCCATCAGTATGAACAAGGCAAGTATATAGATCAGCATAACATTTTGGCATACTAAGGTAGTAACAAACATGATTTAAGACATGAATGTGCAACCATGCAAATGCATGACTAAGTCTATGCACGAATGCATCTATGAAGACACGAATGCGTCTATGAAGCCGCAAATGAGCTGTAGCAAGAATGGCATGATACAACCAGTCATAAAGAACAAAATAATACAGGACAAGTTGCAAGTGCGGTTCAGATGAAATTTTACCACAAGCATGAGCACGCTCAATATGTCAGGTTTTGTTTCCATGGAGTTGCGCATACATTTTCATGCACATATCATTCAGTTATAAGAATTTAGCATTCTACTTGAGGCTTTAATGAACTAACAGCTTAAGAAAGAAGTATACATACTGTATAAACACCAATTTCAATACAACGTTGCGCCCCGAGAATTTGAACTAGCATTGCGAGTAGTTGCGCTTGATCAGGAGAAACCTGCAATCAGTGGCAGTAAATAACACCATCGACATCAACCACAACAAATAAGATAGTAACAGTTGAAACAATAGGATGCCAACTCGAATGCTTATAAGCCGGGGAAAATCATTTTTGCTTGAGGAAAATCATTTTTTCCTGAACCTACAAGCATAGAGCAATCATATCAACCATTAAACGAATATAAATTTCTCCAACACAACACGCCTTTAAGAATGTGAGGTACTGGACTTCCAACAGAATTGTAACAGTTCTACTAATTGCAGTCCCTTTATAGGTTACAGCATACTGGTTAACAGAAAATAACTTATATTATTGCAAATACCAATATTAGACTATAAATCACAAGCCTTATAATCTTTCATCAGGAACAAGAGGAAAAGTAATGTAAGTCGAAACCAATGGCCAGATGTCAAATACTCTATCTACAACATCTACAAGAATTTAATGCTGATTACTTCAAAGTTCAATCATTTATTCAATTCTAGAACTTATTGTCGTACCAGTTAGAAAAACATACATATACAATTATCCCCTTTGTCATGTGACGTACTCAGTATTGAAAAAATCCCCCATCTGGCTGTCTAGGTGGGGTAGGAGGCTATCCGAAGTTCCCAACCGAATGGGCCCTAGGCAGAGCTCAATTCGGACGTATTCTACGGTACTCGCCTAGGTGCCGTAGGGCCACTTAGGCAGCCAGATGGAGCCCTTGGACAAAAAACGTCCCTCTGCCAAGGGTTCCAATTGTTCTATCCAAGGCCTCTCTCACTCTACATATATGGATATGAAAAAAAAAATGACCTACAATTGTTCAATGTGCGGCCTCTCTCACACACACATGGACCCATATGCTTCCTCTACATATAAGGAAAAGAAGAAAAAAAGGAAGAAGATGACCTCCAAGTGCTCAATGTGAGCCCCCTCTCACTAGTCACTACATATAAGAAATAGAAAAAAAGAAAATGACCTCCAAGTGTTTGACATGAAGCTTCACATACAAACACACATGGTACCCTATGCTCCCCCATCCCTCCCTCCCTCCTCGACACGTACAGACACTTACGCAACACAGCGACTGTACGTGTTGGTTGTTTTGGTCAGCAATAGTATGTGTCAACACTTCCTTAAGAAGTGCCATACTTAGAGTCATGTTGTACCTATAGTTTTTAAACCAAAAACGACTTTGGGAATCTCAAAGGTCGAACCTAGTACGTGATGCATAATATGGTCACACCATGATGCAGGCTGCATGCCACTAACAACATAGGGAACTTTTTTTGTATCTATCCTTTCAACTATTATACATTAATATTTGCTTAATTAATTGTTCCATAACTATTTCAAAAAAAAAAAAAAAGTTTTGTTTGCCACAAAAGTAATACCGTTTGTGCATTAGAAACAACAATGCTTTAATGTCTACTTAATTAATTACACCATGACAAAAACGCACTTTAAATTTTCTTAATTAATTGTGCCATTAAACAATACATTTGAATAACTCAATTAATTTTGCATTTAAAAGTTAAAACAACAACTCAGCTATTTATGGAATGTGATAAGCCAACACAATGCATAATATACTAAAAAAAGCCAGTGCCTTAGAAACAACAATGCTTTAATGCCTACTTAATTAATTACGCGATGATAAAAACAATCTTTAATATTTGCTTAATTAATTGTGCCATTAAACAATAATTTGAAGGAAAAAGATCCTGTCAGCCCAAGGGCGTACTGCTACAGTAAATGACAACGGCCTAGATTCAATCTGGGCCGATCTGACGATCATGAATATCCAATAATATTTGAATTTTAATTATTTTTCTACAAATCGGATTGATCTGAAATTTGGAACGTGTGTACATAAAAAATAGGTGAATCTTTGAAAAATATTAAAAAAAATATTTTACATGAAAAAAATTGACCAAAATACCCCTGTAAACTTTCAGGGGTATTTTGGTCAATTTATTTTTACGGATTATTTTTTTTATATTTTTATTAGGTGCGCCTTGATGAGAAGAATAAACACCTAAAATTTCAAGTGATTTGGATTTATAGAAAAAAATTAAAATTCAAACACGAAAAGAGGTCGTGACTGTCAAATCGGCCTAGATTCAATCTATACCGGTCAGCTAGTGGGTGTACAGAATCCACTTCCTAATTTGAATAACTCAATTAATTTCGCATATAAAAGTTAAAACCACAACTCATCTATTTATGGAATGTGATAAGCCAACACAATGCACAATATACTAAAAAAAGGCCAGTGCATTAAAAACAACAATGCTTTAATGCCTGCTTAATTAATTATGCCATGATAAAAACACACTTTAATATTTGCTTAATTAATTGTGCCAATAAACAATACATTTGAATAGCTCAATTAATTTTGCATTTAAAAGTTAAAACAACTCATCTATTTATGGAATGTGATAAGACAACACAATGCATTATATACTAAAAAAAAGGCCACTCACTGGGTTAGAACAAGAGACCTCACGTCCTTTAGGGCGCATTTGTTTTTTGGACGATGATTTTAGAAACAGCGTTTTCCTGGGAAGTGGATACCATGGAACTTGAGGTATCCAGTTTTTAACCTTAAATATATGGCAAGTGAGTATCACAGTATCCACTTTCAGTGTAGCACTTCCCCATTACCAAACAGGGAAGTGCTACGTGTTGGGTGAGTGTGGCCATTAAAGGCCTTATTAGTGCTTGTAATGAAACATTTGATATAATAAAATATGAACTCAGTACAAGTGTGGTCCCTTGTGGACCATACTAAGCAAATAACATTTGTTGATACCGAACTGTGCTTGACGGTCTAGGCCAGTCAGTTGAAAAAAACTTATGTTACCTAGACATAGAAAACTATCCGATAAGAGTTCTAATAGGTCATCCCTTTATGAGGTCGGAGTATGCCCGGATGAGTGAGTCAAGGGACTGTATGACTCTTGTGTGTGACGGTAGCTTTCAGAGACGGGGATCAAAGCCTCATCTATATACCATCATACAACATGCATAATGATAGACGTTTCGAGAAAGCGAACCACCTTTTAGGGTGAAGCTTATGCATGTGCGAGAGATATCTCTATGTGCCATAGGAGTTGTGGTCGCATCAAGTACAGGTGACCTTGGCACGTCTCTAGAGGAGAACTTGAAATCTACAAACTGGAATTACGACCCATTGGCTCATCAACCAGACTTTGGTGACCCACTAATGACCTCTGCATGGACTGTGGATCATGGAAAATACTGGGTCGGTTGATAAAGCAAGTATAGATCGTAGTCCACAGTTGAAGGTGGAGTGCCTCAAAGTATTTATTCCTAAGCCATATGGATCCTTATCCCATCTAATAAATTTAATTGTGTTTATTTTACGATGATATGATTTTATAATTATTATTTGAATTTTTCTAGATCTCAGTATATTTTATTTATAAAATTTGGATTTATAGAAACAGAGACATTTATTTTTTAATGTTTTAAATATTGAAATTAATTCTAAAATTTTTTATTAATTTTTAAATATTTAAAAAATAGTATTGAGAGCCAATTGTGCACATAGGCCCACCATGGCCTAAATTAGTGGGGGCCAACAAAGTCACCACATGGGTGGCACGCCCCAATTTATAGGGGGTTCCTATCCCCATGGGTGGCACGCCCCACTTTTAGGGAGTTTTCCTATTTTGTAGGGTTGAGTTGATAAGAGTAATAACTTTGGCTTGGAGGTCAAGTTATTATGAGATTTGGATACGTGTTTTATCTTGAAAAATATTTGAATGAATCTTTTAAAAGCTTGATATAGCTTATGCATATTTTGGATAAAGCACAATATTAAGATTAATATTATCTTATTTAATTTCTATTGATGGGATAATAGTCAAAGGAAAAAGGGGATAAAGGTTCTAACACCTTCCATAGCAAGTTGATGGCTCATCTATAGAATGGAAGACTCAAATTTTTCACCCACAAGTCACCCATGATCAACGATTCATATTCAATCCACAAGAAGAGGCAAACCATAGAAATCCTACGAAACCCTTATCTTATTTTTTCCACTATAAAAAGAGGCCCCCTTGCCCATAATTCTCTATACACCAATATCGCTCTCTCTCTAAATATTTCTCTCTCTCTCTTTGGTAGCGATAGGGGGCACGCCCCAACCCTAGAAGTCTCTCTCTCTCTCTCTAGAGACCATACAAAGGGGCAAGCCCCACCTTTTGGACTATGTGTCTCTCTCCAGGTTGACCTAAGGGGCACGCCCCACCTTTTGGACTATGTGTCTCTCTCCAGGTTGACCTAAGGGGCACGCCCCACCTAGATGGTGTTTTATCTCCCTCTCATCTTGCTTTGATGAACCTAAGGGTTGGGTAGTAGCAAGTAGATGCTATCATGATCGAACTAGGTTTTATGGGTTTGTACCTAAGTTCGAATTTTGTGATCAAGAGGACCTAAGTTTGAATTTTGTGATCAAGAGGAGTTCATGGTTCCATTAAAGGGTTTGCCTTAAAACTTGCTTTCCCATTGAGATTGAAGGTTGATCGTTGATCCCACACTATCGGATGGTGGTGACTGGATGTGGGGTGTAATAAACCCTAATGAGGTAATCTTCAGCCTTCTTCTTTTTATTTCTTGCCTTTTCAATTACATTGTCTTTACATTCCCAAGCACGAGAGAAGTAGTGATTATTTTCTTTGTTTAAAGAAAATTAGTTTAATGTTTTAAGATATTGAATTTGTTCGTTTTAGTTTTATTTTCTTAAAGCAAGAATTATTGTAACAAGACCACTTGTAAGTGATCTTTGCCGAACGAAAAAGGGATAAATAGAATAAAATAAATTATATATATATATATATATATATATACTATATATATATATATATATATACACACAACAACACA